AAAAAAACCCCATCATGGCATCTAATGACCCTCTTTACCCTCTTTGTTTCTTTCACTGGCGCGAAATGTTCCCGCCGGCGCCAATGTTCAAACCCTGCTGGTGGGAAGCCTTAGCCCCAATTAGAATTAACTTCTTGGGCTCCGGAACTGACATATGGAAGAGCTTGCCAATAAACAGGCGACCTGTTATCTACCTCAGCACTGCAACCTCTCTTAGACCTATATAAACACACAGCCTTTTGTAATAAAGCGGAAACCTCTTTGGTGATCTGTGTCGTGTGGTGCAGCGTCTTCCAGTCTTACATGTTTAAGTAGCTGTCTGGTGCCCACATCACCCTCCAGAAAGAAAGATGCACCTCAGATAGACGTGTGGTGTGTGTAGAGGCTCTTACCTTGGTGTAGATCTCAGTGGGGAGCCTCCAATCTGTAACTGCTGTTTACAGATGACAAGTCCTTGCTTTCCCGAATGCTGAAGTATAACACCAGAGAAGCACGACGAGGCAAGTGTAGAGTGGAAAGTAGAAGCTTTATTAAAGGACAGCAGAAAAGACTTCTCCCCGGAGGAAGAAGGGGACCCAAAAGGTGAAATCCTAAAATGTTATTTTAATCACATAAACAAATTTTCTCTTTATGTGACTTTTTATAGATTTATCTTTTTTTTTTAAGAAAGAGAGAGAGAGAGAAATTTTTAATATTTATTTTTTAGTTTTCGGTGGATACAACATCTTTATTTTATTTTATGTGGTGCTGAGGATCGAAACCAGGGCCCCACGCATGCCAGGTGAGCGTGCTATCGCTTGAGCCACATCCCCAGCCCAAGATTTATCTTTTTACATTTCAGAAATACTATGCGATTCAGTTGAATGCCTAATAATTCTTGAGATCACTGTATTTTCATTGTCATTTCTAACACTTTTATACATCAATTAGTGAAGAAACGTCTTCACTAAGGCCTGATGTCTCAGGTATATTATATAATATAAAGGTAAAAGTGATATGTTACTGATAATCATGAAGCTTTTCAAGAATATCATTTGTGTTTTCACTGAAAAATTAAATTCCTCTTTTCTGCTGATGACTTTTAAAAGATTTATGCTGACATTCATGGAAAAACTAGTGACGTCCAAATGAAGTCAGAAGTTTAGTTAATAGCAAGAAATAAATGTTAGCATCTTCAGTTTGGCAAATGTATCATATAAGATGACCATCAGGGGAAAGTGTACTGGGAGAATAAGAGGACTCCCTGAATTATTCTTCCAATTTTTCTAGGAATCCAAATAAAAATTGTATTAAAATAACTGTTATTTATAAATTTTGAATTTTATGATCTCTGCTTTTAAAAATCTTATGAGCTAGCGGGGCATGATGGTACGTGCCTTTAATCCCACCAATTTGGGAGGCTGAGGTAGAAAGATTGCAAGACTAAAGCCAGCCTCAACAACTTAGTAAGACCAGGTTTCCAAATAAAAAATAAAAAGGGCTGGGGATGTAGATCCGTGGTAAAGAACCTCTGGGTTCAATCCCCAGTACCAAACAAATGATGAGCTAAAAGAATACATTTCTAGTGTAATTATTATTAGTAGTAGTTCCAGGGATTGATCCTAGAGGGCGCTCAATCATTGAGCCACATTCAACCACCACCTCCTCTTCTTTTTTTTTTTGGAGTCAGGGCCTGGCTAAGTTGCTCTGAGGCTGGCTTTGAAAGTTCCATACTCCTGCCTCAGTCTCTGGAGCTGCTGAGATTACAGGTTACGCCACTGCAGTGGACAAATTTCTATTATTTTATGTAACTATATGCTGTTGGTTTTAAGAAAATATTCTTGGTAATACAAAGCTCTCCCCCAAAATTATTTTTGCAATTTCTTAAAAAAATCCTAATACACAATTTCTTTTTGGCAAGCCCATTAGCTCTTCTTCTAATTTTAGATAGATTGCATTATTTTAGATTCTTTTCCCATATCCTTGTAATATAATGAAAGACTGGACCTGTCATGGACAATGTATAAATTAATACAAGATAGACTATTTTCTGGACCAAATTGTTCCTGTATTACAGAACTAAAGAATGATTCTGTCCTAAACACCCAAAATAGAAAATTGCAGCAATTATTTTACAATATCTTTAAGAAACATTTTGCATCTATAATTATGTCACATTTAATATTACTAGAAAAAGTCCTTTATGTTTGTGTTCTAACAAATTAAAAGTTGTATATCATTGTGAAACCAAAAGAGAAGCAAGTAACAAATGAATTAGGACCATGGAAACGAAGCTGGAATGAAGGAAGACTACCACAGCACTATCTCAGAGGCCGACAATTATAAGATTTTAAACATGCTACATTAAATTCAACAAACTTTTTAAAAAAAAGACCCTAGAAGCTTTTGATCAGTAAGATCCATTCAGGCAGTCATTTACTGTGTCAGTCACTGTTTCAGGGGCTCAGGGGAGTCACTGCTTAACAAAAGCACCCTAGCCACCTGTTCTCTTGGAGTTGCCTGCAGAGCTTACAAAGAAATGAGGGAAACAGATTCTAACAGGGAGCTGGTGCAAAAAAAAAAAAAAAAAATGACTGCAAAATAAATTGCAGTCATCCTGAGGCTATGTGCATGTGCATTCATATGTATGTATACTTATTTATATGTTTTAGTGTATATGAATGTATACATATATGAATACATGTGTTTATGTATATACATATTTTTATTTTTATTTAAAAAGTTTTCAAACCAAGAGGCTTAAATGGGGGCATTTTGTTGGTGTTACATTTTCTCATCCTTTAGTACAAATGTATATAGCCTGTCTTTTTGTTTGTTATGTGCATATTTTCTTTAATGTTCTTTTTTTTTTTTTTTTTTTTTTTGAGGGTCACAGTGGATGATAATCATTCTCTTGTAAACTCATTTGTTGTCAGTGGAAAGTAAAACTATTTCAGGGTTGTGTCAGAAGGGATCTCACTTGCTACTGGGGTTGTTTTTTGTTTTTGTTTCCAACTCTTCTTTAAAAATAGTCTAGTTTTATTTTTGTAAAATATCATACAGATGTAGATGTTTCTACAAATACGTGTCTTAATGTACACTCGGGTGTCTGGGGGAGAAAGGAGAGGGAAATTTCACTCTTTCTATAAGTCTGGATTTCTTGGCTTCATTACAAGGACACATATAGTGTTTGCAACACTTTTAAAGTGTATGTAGAGCAGTCCTCCATGCTGAGATCCGTGTGGAAGAGAAGAGCCTCACATTTATGGAATTACGAACCTTGTGGAAACATTCTGTTGCAGGATGGTGATAGAACTTGTGTGAAGCCTATCCACATCCCTTGAAACAAAACGTTTCAAAACATACATGAAAGCTAATTCCACTGGAAAAAAGAAGGGAAGCTCTGGTGGGCCAGAAAACCTCCCAGCAAGTACTAAAAAGACAGAAAGCTGCTACGAACTGTGGCTGACAATGAAGTGTCAATGAAGGTTCATCCACTTTAACAATGATGTACCACTCTGGGGTGGGGGATGTTGGCAGTGGGGGAGGGACAAAAGGGATATAGGAAATCTCTACCTTCTCATTTTGCTGTGCACCTAAGGGTGCTCAAAATAAATAAATAAATAAATAAATAAATAAATGGGGTTTATTTGTCTGTCTGTCTTAAATGGAAAGCTGGGATCAATTCAACTCTATGACTGATCCAAACATTCACAGAATACTGCTATAAAAGATGGAGAGAGCTCCAGGAAAACCTTGGGCCAGTTCCATCATTCCCTGGGGCCCTCAGGTCGTGTAATCACCCAGAGTGCTTAGGTAGATGCTGAGGTCCAGCCCCGGCGAGGGTCCAGGGTGGTCCTGAAGGAGGAGTGGCATCTGGCGAAAGAAGAAGAGTCGGGACGACAGGTTGCAAGTTATGAGCAACCTCCAGAAGACATCTCCCTGCCCCAGGAGGGCCCTTTATTTTTATACCTGTTTTACGGGTGTTTTTTCAGGTAGTTAATGGATAACTTCAAAGCCCAAAACTTTTTTGATTTACATAATTTTCAAGAATTACAACTTTTCTGACATACATTGATTACCTAAGATTTTGAGTACATTGTTCAAAATATTTTTCTGTAACCTTAGTCAATCATGATTAAGCTTTTAGGTTTTCACCTCAATCACTAGGTGCTAGGCAATGCAACTAGACTATAAAATGACTCCTGACTTATTATTCACTTCTAACTTTAAAGCATACCTATAATTATTTCATTAACCTTTAACTTTAAAGCATACTTACAATTATTGGTAAGCTTTCTTACTTCTAAACTAAATACACTTAAAATAGTGAAAATCTATTATTTAAAAGCCTACTACTCTGAAGTGCCTCTAAAATATATCTATGTTAATTTTACATTATTCTATTTTAATTTCCAAGGTAATTTCCTTTTTTCATATGACCTATTTAACTGTTTTCTAAAAGAACTTCCCTGATCCTTGGTCAAAGCACACCAATTCTCATGTCTTTGTAATCTTTAACTAAAGTCAGACTTTACACCTCAACCCATTTGTCATTTACATTAACTATGTGTTTTCTATTTTCATCATAAGTTTCTGCATAAAGCAAAGGAGGGTCTATTGGTTGGGGAATGTATTTTTATTAGCCTCTTGTCCTCGAGGGGATACCATAAGGCGGTCCTTGTACTGTTGGCACAGCAATTGTTTTTCTGTAGCTAGGCTATTGTACAGGTTGTGGCTTTAGGATGGGGTTGGGGGGGTGGGGCTAGTGTAAATTGTTAACCATGAGATAAATATTTCTTGTTGCTTAGGCTTGAGGAATAACACCATTGTTTGTATCCTGAGAGACACTGAAACGTGCCTCATGGCATATCTCAATTGTATCCTTAGTCTCATTCTGGGAATTTTCCTGCAATCTCAGGCAATATGTACTTTTATTAATGATTGACATATGCCCTGTTATCCATATCATGAGTATCACAAACAAAACACTTAACATTCCTAATGATTCCGGTTTCCAGATGGTGCGGCCTTGCCACAGCATCCCCCACGCTGTGACCCTGTCAGACAGCGGGTTCAGGAACACCTTCACCAGGTAGAGACCTCAGCAGCCAGACAGGAAGATCAGAAATGTGAGGTCTGTTTCTCCAACCAAGGTGAAGAGCAAAGCTTTACCATATTTATTTGGCACACTTTGAGAAGAGTATACTAAAGTGACTGACTAGCAAAACTGCAAAATGCATACAGCATTTTAAAGATCTGATCTGATACTGGAAACTTTCCTGTTGAAGTTTGATTATTTTTATCTTGTGTTATTTTGGAAACTGCTGTAAAAATGGTCTAAGGTGGAGGGAAGATCTCAATTATTTAATAAAAAATTGGAGTGACGATTGAGAGCCTGCCTTAAGAATGCCTTCCGCAAGCACAGACTAAACATGGTACCCAATGTTAGTGTTACTTGTGGCTCTGACTGGTCTGCGGGTAGTGCCTTAGCAAAATCAAGGGTTTTTAGCAATGATCTGAAAGGGCAAATTGGAATGGACCAGCAGATGCGATGTGAAGTTTCTCTGCCTGTGGGACCTCGGGCACAGCCAGTGCCAGCACCTGATGCTGACCTTGGCCCCAGGAGGGCTGGGGTGGGGGGCCCTGTGCATTGGCTTCCCACCCTGAGGCCAGGCCCGGATTTTCCAGCTTCCTGAACTTGACCTTCCTCCGAGCCTTCTCCTGGATACTTGGCGCCTCTGGCACTGCTGCAGTGGTGGGGGATGCTAGCAAACTTGGCACCTTGTCCTGGAAATCACCGTCTAATCCGAGAATGGATAGATAAAACTGCCTAGGCGGCTGGTGCTTTGAAGGAAATGGCGCTGAGACAGAAACTAGCAGATGGGCCACCACAGGGTATACAGAGTGTCTCACTTGACCCTCTTCTGTGCCCACCCTGGGCCCCAGGTGATTCATCCTCCCAAGTGATCCTTTTCTTAGGCCATCTTCCCACAGCTCCTGGCTCCCTGGACTCCAGCTCTTCCTGACCCTGTCCCCAGCTGCGTTCCTCTGAGCCTCAACCCCAAGAGCTCCTGGGCCCATCCCACAGGGCCTCAGACCTTTTGTGCCTCTGGCCATCCTTCCTGGCCCCAATCCTTAGGGCCCAGCCTCATACACCCCTGCCACCCGTGCCCCGATCTCCACCCCTTAGCCCCAGCACCAGGGCCTTAGCCCTATGATCCCCAAATCCGCAGCTCTGTCCGCCTTGGTCCCCAGCCGGGTCCTCCCTGGCTCTTCCCAGCATGAGGAGATGGGACTCAGACGCACTGGAGGAGGACTCCGTGGCACGCTCGTCGGACTAGAACTCCTCGCCTAGCACCCGAGCGCACCTGAGATGCCAAAGGTAGGGCGCTGAGGGTCGGGCTCCTGCCAGGCTGGGCGTGGGCACGCAGCTGGTGCCAGGACACAAAGCGGAGGTAGAGTCGTCCTCTGGGATTGGGCTGTGGCCAAAGGACCCTGGGATCTCTTCCCAGCTCTTGCACCCTGGGTAGACGGGGGTCAGGAGTTGACCTGGGTTCCCGCAGGGCTTAGACCCATTGGGAGGTGTCTGTGGCTTTCAGTGGGTTGAAGCCCTGTTCTCTCTGGGTCTGACCCGGCAACCCAGGGCGACATAAGCCCTTCCCAGGCCCGTGCCCAGTGACTCAGCTCTTACTCAGCCCTTTAACTCCCCCTGTTAACTCCCCCTGGTTTTCCTGGAGTACTGTATCCTCTCTCTGGAATCCCATTTCCCCTGCAGAAGTCACTCAGCAGAAGTCACACATTCTGTTCCCTCCAATACAGGGTTGGGGAGGCCTAAGTCCACTTCCCTGCTCTTGGGCCTCTCCCAGGCCACCAAGCAACAGCAACCTCCACCCTCATTGTCCCGCAAACCTGGTCATTTCAAGACTATTACTGGAGGATTTCAGCATCTGTCCCTGCAACAACATCCACACACGCATTGGTATGACTTATTGAATATAAGGCCCTTTGTAGATGTAGGTTTAAACCACTTCACATTTAATGATATAATAAGTTATTTGTGTCCTCAAATACAAGATATGTTGGACTGTTTTCCAGTCTCCTAGATTGCAATACCAGCCTCCTATGTGTTACCTGGTTAGCTCATCCTCATTTTTCAGTTCTCAACTCTGGTTAAGGTCTCTGGTTCCCCCCCAATTGGCATTATTGTTGCTCCTTTAATTTGTTCTTGCCCCTTATACTCAGCACCATTATGGTAGTTCTATTTCATCTGTTTGCACATCTGTCTGATATCTTCAGGTCAGCGACTGTGTCTTGTCCCTTCCTAGGGCCAGCCGCTAACTGTAGCTCCTGATCTATATATTAAATGTTCAATAAAAGTCTGTGGAATGAATGAAACAGTCACACCACATTCAATGAGTCACAGATATCACTTCAGCAATACAAACTCGTTTATATAATAAAGTTATAAAAGTCATTGAGAAAACATCAAGTTATCCAAAGAACAACACTGCAAGTGAACTAAAGGACTGTGTCTCAGATTACTTGATAACTCAGAGGATAAGAATTCCCCCAGTCCTTCTAATCTTATGTTGCTTTTGGAAGCAATCAGCCCTGGGAAACAAAAGGGGCAGTGTACTGGGAGATCAGAGTGGAAGCCACAGTGGTTACTGGACAATAGAACACTCACTGGACCCGAACTATTGTTGTCACAGGAGCCGAGGGACTGGGATTCTACTACATCAGGGTAGGGTGTTGTTGTGCTTTGATTGTCCCTACCAAAACCCATGCTGAACTTCATCCCCAGTGTCAGATATGAAGAGGTGGGACCCTCAAGAGGTGACTGGGTCTGCCATAAATGGATTAATCCATTCATGGATTAATGGATCTGTTATAAAAGCCAGTTTGGCTGTGTCTCTTGTATGTGCCCCCTACACATCCTCATCAGGATTCTGCAGAGAGTCCCCACTAGCAAGAAGACCATCACTGGATACAGCCCCTCTACTTTGTACCTCTCAGGCTCTAGAACCATGAGCTAAGTAAACTCCTATTCTTTATAAAAATCCCTGACTCAGCTATTCAGTTCAAACAACAGAAAATGGACTAAAACAGGTAGATATCAAGAAAATGATCTGCCCATCATTGTTTAAAAGGATGCAAATTTTCTGACCATCTTTCACCAAAGAGGAATAATGAACATGTTTATCTTGTGCCCCATTCTGTTGTCATTCGAATGCCCAAGCCTGCAATTTGAAATTAAACTGTTTGCCTTTTGTGTCAAATCCAAACACCATGTTCAAGGAGATTCTGTCAAGGGCAGCATTGAGTTTGATCCAAGGAGGGACCCTATTGGGCCACCTAGTTTGACAAAGACCTCCTTACTATAATGCAAGTTTCAATATTAGCCTCTGTCTCCCAGAGTACCCTCAGTGCCAGGGTAGCAGGGTCTGGAGGGGCTTGGTGCTCCATGGCTCCAACCACAGGAAAACTGAAATTAGCCTCATCATCTTTGAACCTATTCTCAACAGGTTTTGTTTCCTTTATTTTTAGTTTTAGGAATTTGATTGTCACAGGGCCCTGGTCAGGACTATTCTGGTCAAACATGCTAGGTTTCTCTCTCACTCTCAGTCTACTGTCTTTTAGTTCAGGGAGTTGATTCCAGAGGCACTTTGTCACTCAGCTACACTCCCAGCCCTTTTTATTTATAATTTTGAGAGGGGGTCTTGATAAGTACTTAGTGCAACGCTAAATTGCTGAGGCTGACCTTAAACTTGCAATCCTCCTGCCTCAGCTTCCTGAGTGGCTGGGATTACAGGTATGTGCCACCATTCCCAGCTCATGTTAAGTCTCTCTAAATTGGCATTTACAAGCAGTATTCTTGAGCTTCTTAGCAAAATTTTCCAGTTCCCTTCAGCAAAGCTGCCTTGTCCTGTAGGGCAAAGCTAATCTGTCCTCTCCTGACACAGTGGGCACTGGCTTACTTGGGTGTCCATTTGCATTTTGAAATGGATCACCCAGTAATTCTAGCCCAGATAAGAAGATGGAAAAAAAAAAAAAAGAGAGAGAGAGAGAGAAAGTAGGGCGCTGAGGGTCAGGCACTGAGGGCCTGCTGTGGAACAAGGCCTGTTTGGTCTGCAGCACAGAATGCCTGGTCACTGGCAAAATGAGTTTTGCAAAAGAAGCAGAGTTTATTCCCAAAGTGGCTGAGCATGGACCAGAAGACCAAGCCTCAAATATGCTTCCCTGAGGATGGTTTTTATTGTGGGATGGAAAAGCAAGATGAGTTAAGGTGTGGGGAAAGATGATTGAAGCCATTGGATTAAAGGTGATATAAAATAAGTTGAAGGTGAGGGGGCTGGAGGTGTAACTTAGAGGTACAGCACTTGCCTAGCATACTATCTGCAAAAATAAAACTATAATAATAAAAACTTGTCAGGATAGAAATAAGCAGCATTGCTTTGCTTCACCATTGTACTCTTGATAAAGCAACTATTTTCAGTAGATTCTCCTTTAAATCAGACAACTTCCTCATTTCCCAGTATTCTGCTAGTTATTTCTGATTGTCAGTATTGACAAGACAAATGACATGCTCAACTCTGTTGTGTCCTTAAAACACAATCCTCTTTCCAGCCCACCTCCAGCTCTGGGTGGCAGTCTGGCTCTCATTCTTCACAGCCAAGTTTCCTGGGTTTGCTAAGAGGCTGCCTCCATGTGTCTCTTCCCATGCCTGTGTCCCACTCACTTTGGTGTCTATGCCTTCCACTGCCACTGGGTGACTGTTGGCATGGCAATAAGAGGTGACCTTCACTGAGGTCCACCAGCTTTAATTCAAATGCTTCTCTTCCTCTGTGCCAGCTGCTGGTGCTGTTGATTACAGGGCAAACACCAGCCTTGGAGCTGAGGCAGCCATTTTTCTCACCAGTTCATGTGATCACACCAGAAAGATTCCAGACATCCCACTCAGAGTTGCAGGCTGAGTTTATTGAAGAGACAGGAAAAGGGAAAAGACCACACTGTGGAGGGAGAGAGTGGGTCCTCTCAGAAAGGGGGTTTTTAAGAATTTTGGGGTCCCATTGTTCTTAACTCCATTTCTCATGCTTCTTTTATCTAACCCTTTGAATAGCCCTCAGCAAACCTGGGTTGTCCAGGTCACAAGAAGTGGTGGAGGTAGTTTTGGTGAAAAGGGGAAGATCCAGGTCACTTGTAGGGTGTGACATGATCTTGAAGCAAGTTTTTCTTTAAGGGGATGTAATTAATTATGGTTGTGAAAGGGGTTTTTGTTGGCAGGGAAGATCCTGGGGATTGAACCCAGGGACACTTTATCACTCAGCCACGTCCACAGCTCTTGAGACGGGGTTTTGCTAAGTTGCTTAGGGCCTCGCTAAGTTGCTGAGACTGGCCTTGAATCTGGGATCCCCCTGCCTCAGACTCCTGAGCTACTGGGATTACAGGCATGTGCCACCATCCTGTAACTTACCAAGCCTCCATCTTCCAGGTGCCTGTCTGTCAGATAAGGCTCCTGTGACTTTCAGTCTCTCTTCCTTGTCCCGGCCCTGCTCGCCCATCATGGCTGACTAGCTACCTAACACCCTAGTCTCTGGGCTCTGTCTTTTCCTTTTACTCTTCTCAGCAACTGGTTCCTAAACCAGTAAAGTCATCCCTACCTTTTACTGACTTTACTCTCTCCTTTTGCTTCCCAAACTTTGTCCCTTTCATTAAAGATCTTCCTTCCCTCAGGGGAACCAGCTGGGGAGACCCATCACCTTTATCTACTGGTCTCTGTCTTAACTGCAGCTTCTGGTAAGTGGTAGTTCATGTCCATTTACTTTCTTCAGAGCCTCTCTTCCTGTGCACTCTTCTGAGTCCAACACTGGCTCCCTCTGGCCCTTGGCCATGGTCTTCTAAGAACATTCTCTTCTGTTGTTTTTTCCTCCTCACACTCTGGGCAGACAGTTCTCAAGTTCTAGGTCTCTTTGTCTTAACCCTTTTTTGATAAAATAAAGGCAGACAGAAGGATGTCTCTGAGTGGGTATCTTTGAGATCCGAGCCCACATTAAGTACCTGGGTAGAAGAAATTCTTTTGGGGGTCTTAGGACTGAAGACCCAGGCCGCACCCTACCTTAAGGGCTATCACACTCTTTGGGATATTGGGATATCTTGTCTGGCCCTGATATGATCTGGAAGTGCATTCTGGCTTAATGTAGTTGTTTTATGTGTTTTTTGTCTATTAGTTTGTTTCTGTGTTTTTCATAGGGGCTAAGATATGAATTTGATGACTGCAGGGACAGTCCTATTATTTCACTGACTCTTGCTCCAGTATTCAGAAAGCCCTCTCACAAAATGAGTTCTGAAGATAACATTGAATACATCTGAATTCAGCATTCACCAACGTAAACTTCCCCTGGAATTCTTAGGGCTAGGATTTCCCTAGCTGCTTCATTTTGGACAAATATTTTTATATTTATTGGCAGAAATTTTTATATTCATTTTTGGCAGAAATTTTGTAATTATTCTTTATTGAGTTTACCTTCATATCTTATGGCACTTCTTATGATAAATTCACTTTTGAGTTATGTGCATTTAAGTAGATATTCTTTGTGTGTGTATATGTATGTGTGTGTGTGTGGTGCTGGGGATAGATCCCAAGGCCTTATGCATGCAAGGCAGGCACTCTACCAACTGAACTATATCCCCAGCCCCTTAAGTAGATATATATATATATATATATTTTTTTTTTTACCAGCATGCCTAAGTTAAAACATTTCAACAAATGGTTCTGGGAAAACTGAAAATTCATATGTAGCAAAATTAAATAAAACCTCTATCTGTCTCAATAGGGCAGAGGGGTGGAAGGGGAAGGGAGGGGGCAGGGGATTAGCAATGATGGTGGAATGTGATGGACATCATTATCCAAAGTACATGTATGAAGACATGAATTGGTGTGAACATACTTTATATACAGAGATATGAAAAATTGTGTTCTATATGTGTAATATATAGAACACTGGCATGTATTTAAAAAATAAAAGCAATTAAAAAAAAATCCCCCAAACCTCTATCTCTCACCCTGCACAAAAATCAACTCAAACTAGAACAGAAACGCAGCATGTAATAGAAGAAAAAGTAGGCCCAAATTTCACCATGTTGGCTTAGGAACTGACTTTCTTCACAAGACTCCTAAAGCTCAATAAGTAAAATCAAGAATCAATAAATGGGATAGATTCAAACTAAAAAGCTTCTTCATAGCAAAGGACACAATAACAAGAAGACAGAGCCTACAGAATGGGAGAAAATCTTTTCCACACACACATCAGAGCACTAATCTCCAGGATATATAAAGAACTCAAAAACTTAACACCTAAAATCCAAATAATCCAATAAATAAATGGGCTAAGGAACTCAACAGACACTTCACAGATTTTACACAATCGATCAATAAATATATGAAAAAAATGTTCAACGTCACTAGCAATTAGAGAAATGCAATCAAAACTACTCTAAGACTTCATCTCACTCCAGTCAGAATGGCAATTTTCAAGAATACAAGCCACAATAAGTGTTGGCTAGGATGTGTGGGGGGTGCTAGGGAAGAATTGAGGAATTTGGATTGGGGGGGCAGGGAAGGGGGGCGTTTGAGGGTGGGAAGGATGGTGGAATGAGATGATCATTATTACCTTATGTAATGTATTATTGCACAAATTGTGTGACTCTGCATGATGTACAGCTGGAGATATGAGAAGTTGTGCTCCATTTGTGTACTATGAGTTGAAATGCATTCTGCTGTCATGTATAACTAATTAGAACAAAAAGAAAGAAAGGCATGGCAGAAGAAAGATCTAAGCTCATGGCAGCCAGGAAGGAGAGAGTTGGGGACGGGGTGGGGGGGAACTAGGGATAAGAGACACATCCCCAGTGAACTCTAACCTTCCCCCACTTGCCTATAGTTTCTACTTCCTCTCAGTAGTTAATTCACGCCATTAATCCTTTCAATGGATTAATCCACTGATAAGGTCAGAACCACTATGATCCAATCACTTCCCCAAAACCTGACCTCTGGACATTGCTCATTGGGGATTAAGCCTTCAACACATAAGCTTTTGGGGGACATTCCAGATTCAAACAACAACAGTCATATAAACAGATGACCTTGGCTTGGTTCAGTTTTTCATGAATATAACTTGTATTCAACTCTCATTTTGTAAATTAATATTACCTTTTTACTCTTTCTTATAAGTAGAATTTAATGTAATATATCTCACAAATGTTAATTTAAATTTGTTGGTAAGATAAAATTAAAGATCTCTAAAATTGTTAACAATTTTTTTTTTTTTTTTGCCTAGGTTGCTGGCCACTCAGGATTATATTGATTTGTTAGGTGTTTAAGATGCAATGTCCATTGCTTTCTATGTTTTAAAGACATTATCAATGTTTAGGTTTAACAAATAAATAAGGCATTTACTATGCTTGTCTATCTTGGTTTTCATGGGAAATCTAAAAGTGTGAATTAGGTAAATATAGGGGATAAATGTTTATGTATATGGAGATAAAACATCTGAGTCATTTATATATTACAATGCTGAAAAATCAAATGCTAAATATAAATTCAAGCGGTCTTGGATTCCGAAAGTTAAAACAAGATTCTATCTATCTATTAATTAAATGCATTTTTAAAAACTGTTGGTATACAGGAAAATAACTTACATCGCTTTTCCTTGGATCTTTACTTAAAAATAAGGATTCTCCAGCGGTAGTGGTGCCCACCTGTAATCCCAGCAGCTCAGAAAGCTGAGCCAGGAGGATCTCAAGTTCAAAGCCCAGCCTCAGCAATTTAGTTAGGCCTTAAACAATTTAGTGAGACATTGTCTCTAAGTAAAATATAAAAAAGGGTTGGGGATGTTTGGCTCAGTGGTTGAACATCCCTGGGTTCAATCCCTGGTACTGAAACCAACAAAAA